GGGGGGGGGGGGGGGGGGGGGGGGGGGGGGGGGGGGGGGGGGGGGGGGGGGGGGGGTCGCCGTACCCGACAGGAGTTGCCGCAGGCGCCGAGGTTTGGTTTTTTGGTCGAATTCGGGGAGAAACAAAAGGCCTTTGCTTGCAATCATCCCCGGGCAGGAACGGATTTTATCTTTAATGTTCGGATTGGAATCTAATCAGAAGTTTGATCGCCTTAAAGATATGAAAGGCCCTCATGAGACCACATGAGAGACTCGGTTTTGGCTCTTGAGCCGGCTTAGTTACTTATCTTGAAGGTTAACAGTAATTAAACTAAAATGTCTTCTAATTGTTTCACTCTTTCTCGAAAAATGAAATTTCCGACAGTCTCCGGTGGAGGCGAAATTGGCGAAATTGGCCATTTGCCACCGCGTGGTGCTCAAGGTGCTTAACCTTTGCTTTCAGGTGCTTAACCTCTTCTTGGCCCTGCTCCTGTCGAGTTTCGGCGCGTCCAGCCTCAGCTCCCCGCAGATGGACTCCGACACGAACAAGCTGGCCGAGGCGTTCCAGCGGTTCGTCCGGCTGGGCCACTGGGTCAAGCGGCAGATCTGCGGGACCGCTTCCGCTCTCCGGCACAAGGGCGCTGCCAACTCCGTCGCCAATGGAACCGCTGGTATGCGCCATCTCTCAATTTTTTTTTTAGCCTCTTGTTGCATCGGAGTAGTTGAGCGATTGAGAAATTAACTAATCGATTGATGAATAATTAATTAAAAATACTAAACTCGAATCTTTCTGCTTCATGAATAGATTTATCAATTGGAAGAATAAAAATGCAAATTAATCATTTGTTGAAGTATTGACTTTAACAATACTTTAACACGATTAATCGTGATTAATCAAATATTTTTTTAGTCATTCACGGCTGAGCGATTGTCATTCTTTGTCACAAGGGAATATTATTAGATGAGCACGATGAGAGAATGTGAGAACGTCAGCATGATGAGAGAATGTCAGCATTGCCGTTTGGCGGCGTACGATGATATTTCTTTCGCCTGCCTGAATACTTTAGGTCCTTCAGAGAGGGAATTAGGGGTAGATTAATATTAGATTAAAAGCTCGATTGATCGAACAAATAGCTCACGATTAATCAACTAAAATTTTTATCGCCATCCTTCGATAGTAACCCAGTTGCCTTCATGCGGAAATTGTGAGCTGTCGTCACATCGACCCAAACTCGTCGTCATAAATTAAGAATTTACCATGCGAATAAGAGATTGCAATGAGCAGACATTTATTAATTAAAGAATTTACCATGCGAATAAGAGATTGCAACGAACGCGAATTTGAAGGAATCCGCCTCCGCACAGAGCACGGACTCGAGGGGGACGAGGGGCCGGACGCCCGGATCGACATCCCCACCGACCAGTCCGACCTCGCCTTCTCCAAGCCCCCGGGCGCCGGGGAGGTCGTGGACGGGACGAACCTGAAGAGGGCGCTGCGGATGGAGGAGGACAACGCCGACACGAAGAGCATGGGCTCCCACCTGGACAAGAAGTACCGGTTGGCCAACGGGGGAAGCGTGGAGAGCATGGACCATCTGCAGCCGCCTTCGTTCGATCACGACCGCTCGGCCTTCCACGACCGGCGGATGCATCAGCAGGCTGACCTCGGTATCTTCCTTTTATTCGCGTCTGCTTACGTAATTCTTGGTTCTCGATGCAATTCTTGTCGTTTCCCAATTCTTATCGGCTTAACTTATTCATGTCGGTCACGTAGGTATATGCAGCATCGCTTTATTAACGAGCTAGAGTACAACTTATTTATTTCAAATCGTACAGAAATAAAAGTTGACACATCGATAAAGGTGACATAGGGGAAGAATCGGCTACTTTTCTATGCAATCTGCATTTGCAGCAACGCATTTTCGCCACGCCTAAACTCAACGTTCAAATCCTCTTTTGCGAAATTTCACACTTTTTTTTCAGCCACTCGTTTACAAAAGCCTTAAAGGGCAATAGCAATTATAATAGCGGCAATTATTGGCACGGAAGAAACTATTGCCGCTGTTCGTGAAAACAGAGCCTCTTTGTCGCCTCTATCAATGCGTCGAAGTCGATTTTCGCCAGATTTGAAATAAATGAGTCGCAAAAGTTACTTCCCGAGCGCTGCAAGATATTCATGTCGGTCGCCCTCGCGTTCGTCACGCTCATGTCAGCCGACAACGTTTTCATCCCCGCCCCGCCCCGCCCCGCTGCCCGAGTTTTCCCAGAGGTCGGGGTAATTGGTCCATTTGCAAATGGACCAATTTTGCCGATTCCTTGCCAATCTCTCTCCGCGTCATAATTCGATGTCTAATTTCGATGGACCAGAATGTCCTTGATGTCCTTGGCATTTAAGCAGAGAAAATCAAGCTTAATTGCATTCCCGCGTGCAATAAGTTGCTTTTTCATCAGCAAGCCTTTATTCATTATTTATTGGAATCGATTTGAATCGCTTCAGCTAGGGATTTCGATTAGCAAGGCATTTTCCAGAAATCCGCCTTAATTTTTTTTTTTCGTTTCATTTTCGTTTCATCTCTCTGCGATGAAGCGCCTTGAGGATTTATTGTGCCAATATGCCAATATGTCAGCAGGCCTCATGATCGTGCTAATTCCGATCCAAGAGCCAGGAATGCAAAAAAGTATTTAATTGCATAGTTTCTGTTCCGCTATAATCCTATTAATAGTTCGGTCCCGGTTCAATGAAAATTTCGGTTCAGGTTTTTTCTTACGGTCTGGGAAAATGGAGCGGTTCGATTCGGCTATTTCTCAAGATTCTCAACTTCAGTTCTGTCTCCATCTTTTCAGCAGCGGGATCTTTCTTTATATTATTCGTATATTGTGATTTAGCATGAACTTCATGTTGAAAGACCCCATTAGCTCCTTATTCATCTTCGCTTTGATGCATCTCCAATTTGATGCATCTCCAATTTGATGCATCTCCAATTTGATGCATCTCCAATTTGATGCATCTCCAATTTGATGCATCTCCAATTTGATGCATTTCCAATTGGATGCATCTTCACTTTGATGCATCTCTGTAGCCTGCATGAAATTCAATAACCAAACACCACCCCCTCTCTCCACAGATGCGCCAGAGGTGATTCCACAACACCACACTCTGGACGCCGGATCAGACGACGACATAGTACAGGACTCCCCGTCTGACTGCTGTTCCGTCGGCTGCTACCAGCAGTGCCCCGCCCTGGCCGGCGAGGAGGGTTCGCCCTTCTGGGACGGGTGGACCCAGCTCAGGACCAAGACGTACAAGCTCATCGAGAACAAGTACTTTGAGACGGCCGTCATCGTCATGATCTTGCTCTCCAGTCTGGCGCTCGTGAGTCTTTGGGTCTTGCACGGTTTCAGATGCAGTCATATGGTCAGGTTGTATTTGACTTTTGGAATATACATGCTGTATATTCCAAATTTTGAATATACATGCTGTATATGCAGCAAACTAGGCTGGATGGAGTTGAGGGATTTCATATGGCCCAAAACATGATATGGAAATATTTGTGCCATGCATGTTTCAAATGAAGAGCCCATGTATGGCCAGATATGACACCATGTATTAAGTCTTTTTTTGGAACTCCCGTACGGGGGAAGAAAGTTGGCTTATAGGCAATACGACAACACTGACAATGTGGCAACACTGGTTCCAGGCCCTGGAGGACGTCTACCTCGCGCAGAGGCCGCTGCTGCAGGACATTCTCTACTACATGGACCGGGTGTTCACCATCGTCTTCGCCCTGGAGATGCTCATCAAGTGGCTCGCTCTGGGGTTCAACACGTACTTCCATAATGCCTGGTGCTGGCTCGATTTCATCATTGTTATGGTGAGTTCTTGACGGCAGTGATGAATTGCTGGCCGGGTTTCAACCGGCCTTCATGCCTGTCGTTTCGAGTAATTGCGATTTAAGTCACATGGAGACTTAATTCGTTCAGCTTAATTTCAGAATTTTCATTTAAAAGATGACTTTTAAAAATTTGCAAGTAGATGAAATACAAATTGCGCTTCAAGATAAAACGCATATCTCGCCCCCAGGTTTCACTGATCAACCTGACCGCTTCCTTGGTGGGTGCCGGGCGGATCCAGGCCTTCAAGACGATGAGGACCCTTAGGGCCCTCCGGCCCCTCAGGGCCATGTCCCGCATGCAGGGGATGAGGGTCTGTTCAATTTTTTTTTTTTAGCTACATTACTCTTTTTTTTTATAATTGTTTTAAGTGATTCGATGTTTAATAATAATTAATAGGTTGAGCAGGATTTTTTAAATATTAAATATAGTTTTGTATAAATACTTTCTACTGAATATTGCAGGTCGTGGTTAACGCCTTGGTCCAAGCGATCCCGTCCATCTTCAACGTGCTTCTCGTCTGCCTCATCTTCTGGCTCATCTTCGCCATCATGGGCGTCCAGATGTTCGCCGGGAAATTCTACAAGGTCAGCGGTCGGATTCGTCTCCCGTCTCATTCTTGGGGGGACCCTTTTCGGCTCTGACCCCTATTCGGCTTCGACCCTATTCGGCCGTGAATTCTCATGACGGCGAGGTCGACGGGATGGGATTCCAAGGTTCCAGAATAAGAGAAATCTCATGCGATTTCCACATATTTCCCATTGATTGCAAAAATGGATCTGGGATCAGTGAGCGATTCGTGAGTGAAACTCATCGTTTGAGATCGTGCTGCTGGAGGTGGATTACCACGTACTGAGGTGCTTCGCGTTACAAAGACTGCCCAAAAGCATGTTGCGACTCGGAATGTAGCATTTTGCTCTGAGCTCATTCAGTCTACGGTTCGGGGAAAAGGAATGACGTATTCAGGAATGAGGGCAGCAAGGGCAATTAAAAATGGTTTCTCGGGAGCATAAAGAGCAAAATAAATAAAAAATCTTGGAATTCCTGAGGGATTGGCCTGAATGATTCAGGACGAGCCGGAAAAGTCATCCAAGAATGTGACCACAGGCTAAGAATCCTGTTGTTTGAGCTGGATATGAAAGGTCCTATTATGAAAGGTCCCCATTCATCCTCTCGCTGGCGCGATGTCACCCTTCTTTCCTTGTTCTTCAGCTCTTCACGAGCACGAATACTGGTGGAAACAGCTCTTAAGCAGGGAATCATCATCGGTATCTTCTTTCCAAACGAGTTTGCTTATATTATGCATATTAACTTATGAATCCTTATCCATCCTGGTCCATCCTAATTCATATTGATCCATCCTGGTCCATCCTGGTCCATCCTGGTCCATCCTGGTCCATCCTGGTCCATCCTGGTCCATCCTGAGACATCTTGAAACCGATCAGCCCAAAATCATTTCCTACCTTTTCCCCCCTTCAACCGAAGCTTTAAAGCACTACGACCGACAACAGTCGACCCGAATCCCCCCACAGTGCGTGGACAAAGAAGGAGCAGTGGTGTCGGTGGAGCTCGTGAACAACCGGAGCGAATGCGGCTTCAAGAACTACACCTGGGTCAACTCCAAGATCAACTTCGACAACGTCCTCCAGGCGTATCTCTCGCTGCTCCAGGTGGCCACCTGGAAGGGCTGGATCGAGATCATGAACGATGCCATTGACTCCCGCGGGGTGGGTTGCTTCATTCATTTATGTAAATGAGGGAGGTAAATGTAAATGTAAATTAGGTAAATGTAAATTGCTGGCCCTCCGATTCGTTCGATGCAAGTTTCGAGAGTCTGATAGTGTTCATTTGTCTGGCTGGAAATGGTAAATAACACGGCATATTTCTGGTATTTGCCGTTCGTCAATGAAACTGTTTGTCTTCGTCCCTTCGGAAGGAATGATCGAGTCAACTCTGTCGGTTAATTCCTCTGCAGGAGAACATGCAGCCGTCCAGAGAGGCAAACATCTACATGTACCTCTACTTCGTCTTCTTCATCGTCTTAGGCTCCTTCTTCACGCTCAACCTCTTCATTGGAGTTATCATCGACAACTTCAACGAACAGAAGAAAAAGATGAGTATTCTTCTCCGTGAATATTTTAAATAATTCATATTAAGGTCAACATAATTAAGAGACGTTAATTAAGAGAAAATTAGTTAAGAGAAAATAATTAATAATTAAGAGAAAAATTAATTAGTCTTGAAAATTCAAAGTATTACTTCATAAAAATAATTGGTAGTTTGTTTCCGATTGCGATTGTGCCAACTCGTTCGGTTGGACTTTATAGACTACAGGTGAGCAGGAAAAAGCTTTTGGAAGAGCCGCATGGTTTTCATTGCAAGAAAAATACATTTGGCAGTTTCACCGAGTGTTTTTTTTTGCGTGTGGTTTTTTGCGCGTGATTTCGCACTCCCTCAGGCTGACCTTGCATGGTTTGCGTGTGTTTTTTCTTGCGTCCTGCCTCTGGTTTGCTGGACTTTACATGGGTATGTCTTTGCAGGGTTTTTTGCATGAAAAATAGCATTGCAGCGGCCGTGATTATTAAATTTTCTCAGGGCTAGTGTAGCGCATGCAGAAAGCTAACACTTGAAAACTTAGTTGAATTTTGCAAGCTAAGTCATAAAAAACTTGGAAAATTAAGCTTGGAAAACATTTATAACGTTAGCCCTAAAAATCTACACAATTTGATCCTAAAACATATTCATCTCCAATTATTTTACACGTAAAGAGTTAAAGAAATTACCACGGCCGCGTGCATATCATATACTGTTGTCAATCTTGTCGAAAACACGAAAAGGAAATATACTCCGGAATCGCCACAGGGGGATCGCTGGAGATGTTCATGACAGACGATCAGAAGAAGTACTACAACGCCATGAAGAAAATGGGATCCAAGAAGCCCCTCAAGGCCATCCCCAGGCCGCAGGTATTGGATGGATGAAAGGGTTTCGGCCGTTCCTGGAATTGGATGGCATTGGATGGCGAATTTTTCATTCTTTGAGAAATATTGCTTTCGTAAATTAGACATTTCCTCCGAATGATGAAACCTGATTTAGCTTAAGGTCCCTTCAGAATCGGAAGATTCCTCTGAGAGGGAAAGAGCTCTTTAGCTTAAATGACTCATAATCCTGCTCAAATGGGGTTTTGAGACATCGCGTCCTCTTGGAAAGCTGGAGAATGGGTTTTTTTTTGCGGACTGGCCTCAATGTTGTTTTCTCTGAAGCTATCAATTTCCATTTGGAACGAAACAGCACTTTTGCTGATGGACTAGGCGAATCTGCCGCTTGTTCTCATTCTTCCGGGGAATGAGCACACTCTCCATCCTACAGCAGGAATGACAGGATCGATTTCGACAGATGAGGCATTAAAGGATTTGTCAAGTTCCAGGGGAATTTCTATAGCTAATTTTTAATTAAGTTTCTACGAGGTAGTATTAATTTTACTGAATACTGAACCAAGCTATTTCTTTTGAAGTGCTTATACTTTCTTTCGCTATATCAATACAGTAATTTTTTGTTTTCCTATGTCAGTGATTGCGCAGCAATACCTTATTTCCTGTTGAAAAGTATTACAAATTAAAATAATAGAAAAAGTAAATAGAGAAAATTCGCACAGGAAATAAGGGGGGAAAGTGCATGTAGACATTATCAACCCCTTAACGAAATCCTTCAAGGTGCATTCTGGCTTATGATCAAGACGAAAAGATGGTTGGTAAATGATAATGACGATAAACTAATTGTTTGCATTTTGGTTATGCAAGAAATAACCTCGTGTTGTGATTGATTTTGCCGTTTTCGAGACACCATGTATGCATGGTATTTACCGATGGTACATAAGGATTAGAAAAAACCTCCACGGTTCAAATATCTATAAATGGTTTATTGGGTTGAACATTGCATGAGAGAGGCTAGGGAAAATGCATAGCTTACCCTTCATGTTCGGTCACGTGACTAAATGTTCCTTCCGGTCACGTGACGAAACAGTGGAAGCCGGCAGCCCTGGTGTTCGAGATGGTGACGAACAAGAAGTTCGACATGGTGATCATGCTGTTCATCGGACTGAACATGGCCACGATGACGCTGGACCACTACGACATGACGGACCAGTGGAACCAGATCCTCGAGATCCTCAACACGATCTTCATCGTGATCTTCACGGCGGAGTGCATCCTTAAGATCTTCGCTCTTCGGCAGTACTACTTCAAGGAGCCGTGGAATCTCTTTGACTTCGTGGTCGTCACGCTTTCGATCCTCGGTGGGTTGTGGATGCGAGTGATGGTTGGGAGTGATTCAGTGGTTTGTGGGTTGACGGGATTGAGGTGGGATTGTGAGGTGGGATTGTGAGGTGGGATTGTGAGGTGGGATTGTGAGGTGGGGTTGCGGGGGTGGGATTGTGAGGTGGGATTGTGAGGTGGGATTGTGAGGTGGGGTTGTGAGGTGGGATTGTGAGGTGGGATTGTGAGGTGGG